GGCAGATCACGAGGTTAGGAGATCGAGACCATCCTGGCTAACATGGTGAAACCCCATCTCTACTAAAAATACAAAAAATTAGCCGGGTGTGGTGGCAGGTGCCTGTAGTCCCAGCTACTCAGGAGGCTGAGGCAGGAGAATGGTGTGAACCCAGGAGGTAGAGCTTCCAGTGAGCAGAGATCGTGCCACTGCACTCCAGCCTTGGCGACAGAGCGAGACTCCGTCTCAAAAAAAAAAAGTTGTTTCAATCAAACAACACATGGGATTGCATCTTGCTTTGAAATATAAAACTCAGTGTTAACCATAATGTTGATGTTATATTTCTTAGATATTAGAGCTCATGTTTAATTTTACTAAATATTTCTTTTTAATTGAGTGTCTGCTTTGTGCTAAACCCAGTGAACTGTAAAGGACAGAAATATTCCTCCTTAATGTGCTTATACTATCTCAGCAATAAGATATGAAATAAAGAATATTACACAAAGAATATTACACAAAAAAGTGTCTTGTCCTTTAGTAATTTGGCTTGCACACAATGCATAGTTTATATCTTTAACAAAAGTTAAAGTTATTATCAACAATAGTCTATCCATTAACAGATTAAAAACTGATGTGGAAATGGAAATGTCTGATAAAACTGTATCTGAGGTTCTTATCTATAGAGAGCATGGAAGAAGCTGACCAGGGTACCTCTCCTTAGTGTTGTATTTTAGAGCTGAGTCCGCATTAAGAGTCACTGAGCACAGCCTTCCTGTTATTTCCTTGAGACTGAGAACTTTCTCTCCTTTCTGAAATAGTATCAACACCAGATCAAAGACACAGTAGTCCTCTGAGACCCGGTCGATTAAACACTCAGCGTTGTCTGGTAAACCACTCTCTGTTACTGTGGCTGAAGAACATGGAAAATTTTTCAGCAACCTCTTACATTGTGAACTTCAGGCCCTGCTCAGATGTGGTGTTTCTTCTTCCTCATGCCTAATATGGTTAGGGACATTCATAGGCGGAGATGGTTAAGGGGAACTTGTGTCTCAACAACAGATGAGAGACTGGTAAAAGTGATCTGAACACCAATGGAAAAAAATCAGTTGTCGTTATTATTATTTTTTTTTTCCCAAAAAGTGAAAGCCGTGTTTGCTTTGAGATGAAACATTTGAGAAGCTTCTCTTCTTTAGGTGATTCCATCCCTGCTCGGCCTTAGCAGTTCCTGCTTGGAAGTAAAGAGCCAAAGAGAAGGCAGGGAGCATGGAAGTGCCTTTTCCAAGGACACCCAGGCTGCTTGGCAGCTGCGCCTGCAGAGACTCTTATCCACCTGCTCTGCTGCCCCAGGCCTTGCCTAACTGGAGGGGCCAAAACTATCTGTCTGACTCAAGACGGCATCAGGGCAGAGTCTTCACATCTTTTATGACAAAAACGTCCCTTAGCATGTCCGGAATATTTTTTCTCTAGGCTTGTTCCAACTGGAGCTCATTTTGCTCTGATTATTCTGGCCTATATGTTTCTGCATCTGTCCATTCTCATAAGTGGGATGTGTGTGTGTGTGTGTGTGTGTGCGTGTGTGTGTGTGTGTGTGTGTGTCTTTTGTGTTTCTCTTTTAGCCATGGTGTAGCTGATTAAAAGCTACAGATAAACAGGCTTTTCACCACCAAGCTAGGGTAATCATAGATAACATGGGGTGACCTCAAAAGGTTTAATTCTGCCTTTTGTTTGAAAGGCGGAGAACTTGAAAGAGCAAGTGCGTCTCAGCATGAAGGGAGAGGATCCCAGTTCACACTAAATAGTTCCTTCTCTGCGGGCAGATTTGTGAGCCTCACAGTGTCTGCCGTTTATTGGGACAAGCCCTTTAAAATCCCTCGTCTCTCTTCTATCATGGTCTATTTAAGGCTGTTATCTTCCAAATGGCAGCCTCTCATGAGCAGTTCAACTTGCCCTACTGTGCCAGCAGATATTTTACGAGTCCATAATTAAGAAACTTGGTTTTATATGGGTCCTATAAGGTCTGTTTATCAATTCTGCTGATAAACACTTCTACCCTGGAGATATCCCAGTGACAGCAAGCATATGCATGTCATCGCATCCAGATAAATGTCTAAAGTCACTTGGTTATTAGCCTGATTTAATACCCAGCTTTACCCTTATTATCACGCCACAATTCGTGGCATGCCAATTATGTGCCAGGCTCAAACAACATTGAAATTGTATTCAAATGATGAACTCTTAAAGTGTATCATGAAGCCAAGTAAGTTGTTGAAGCCAATGTCCAAATAATTTCATTGAAAAACTTTTATGTAAGGAAAGTAGTTTAATTTTTGTAATGTTTGATCTGAGTGATACAGATTAGCTTCTGTGAAATAAATTCACTGGT